CCCTCCCTCTCTCTCTCGATGATAATCATCGACGTGCACGATAGTGTTGCAGGCGGCATGTCGATCGTCGTCGCGGCGATGTTAGCCGGAGATCGGCCGCGATTCTCGTAAACGAGACGATTGGATGGGCGCACGAGCTCAAAGGTCTGTGTCCACGTTGCTAGAACATGGTCCAAGTTCTAGTTTCCAGAGATGGGTAGTCAATATAACAAGCAACTTGCAGCTATTTCATAAAAGCTTTCCGAACTTCAACTAGAACTTGGACCAGGTTCCTATCATCATGGACACAGGCCTTTATTAGCTCTCGCGGGCAATCCAGTAGGAATAATAGTATCGTGTGCTTGAGTCACCTGATCTAAAACTCACATTCTTGAGGCCTGTCCGCACGATGCTAGAACCCTGTCCAAGTTCTAGCTTCGAGAAATGTGTAGCCAATCATGTAGCGGCTATGCTGTAAAAGCTGCAAGTTGATTGGCCACACATTTCGCGAAACTAAAACTTGGACCAAGTCCTAGCGTCGTGGACGCAGGTCTTAAGTTACACCGCCCGCGCGGGATTTATGCGGCACCCACGCCCGCGCGTTCGGCCGGTTCGGGCTTAATGACGCCGATGAGCACGGACGCGTAATTATTCGCATTTCGGCGCAGTCCGCCGCGGTGCCCGGGGGTGGCCGCGGCCCGCGTATTTACGAGGGTTATATATTAATTGCCCGAATAAATAGCCGTGGGTACCGGGCTCTACCCCGTAACGCTCGAGAGCAGCGGAATCGTCGGCGGAGAGAGAAGGAGAATCGATACGAGAAAACGAACCGGTCCGCGCGCTGCGCCGCGCCGCGCCGCGCCGCGCCGCGCTCCCGCATACGATCAGGGCTTTTATTTGCTCTCCGCGCGCGTCGGTTTATTAAAAATTAATGACAGCGAATCCGATGTAAATACGATAGCCCGCACCGACGCGGCGGCGGCGGCGGCGAGCCGGCCGCGCGTGTACAGGGCGAATCGCGAAGAACGATCGTCCGAGCGACGATCGACGAGTGCTCCTCGGGGATAAATCTCGCGCGTTTCTCGAATATCGGATGTGTTCCTCCGCATCCACGTTCGTACCCACGGTCTCGTCTCGCCGCTGTCCCCGTACTGTTTCCCGCGGAAAACTACTCGCGGTGCTTCGTGGACCACCCTGTGCAGAATGCATAGCCTGCAGCGTCCGCCTGCAATGGAATCTGATCTTAACTCTTCTCGATATAATTGGTCGAGTCATCCCGCGGATATCGCGATAATCTATGTGTGTTTGGACACTTTGCAATCGTATCTCGCACGTCAACCACTTGTGCTTACAATTAGAAGAAAAAAAAGGATACGATCAGGGTTGGGAAAGTTACTTTATGAAAGTATCCAGTTACCTGCAGTTGCAGCTTTCTCGCTAAAAATGTAACCAGTTGCGGTTACTCGAAAAGTAACGAATCGTTATTTTGCCGTTGCTTTCTTGCAATGAGAATAAAAATGTCAAATCTGCATTTGAATTTTAAAGCGTCGATGAAGCAGTGATGTTCCATACTGGAATGGGGAAACCTTCCGCGCATACTCAAAAAAACTTCCTAGGCAGTGAAAAACCTTCAATTCAAACTGTATTATATTTATACAAATAAGGTTTGTTCGTTTTACCTAAACTAGTTGCACTAGTTGAAAGTTTAGCTGTTTCTTTTTCAACAACCTTTAAATATATTTTTGCCGATTACATATAATATATATAATATATATAAAATGCCAAAAAACCTTCAATTTCAGAACTTTTTCAAAAACCTTCCTTCCACCTTCCAAAGCGTCCAAAAACCTTCCAAATGAAGGAAATCCTTCCTTTGGAACATCACTGCGATGAAGGCGTTTATGCGCAAACGCAAGGCTTGATGCAATCCGCGCATTTTATCGGATAGATTTCGGGTGTACACATAATTCAACCGGAAAAGTTAACCATCCGAAAAAAAAACTATTTAATTGGTTTATCCGATGGAGATTTCTCTCAGTGTGTTGATGTACGAGTATCTCCACGCATCTGTCGCATTTATTTCCCAAAATGTATGCCGTTCGTTTTATACACGCCGAGATGGACCTTTCGTCCCAGGTAGTTGCCAACAGGTCGTCGCCTTCGTTTTCGATCGTATCTAGGCTGGTCCTGCCTCGCGGTGAATTATTGCCCAGGACGCAGCGACAACGCGATAAAACGACCGGCCGACCGGCCGATCCATTCGTACGCGAACGGCCATAATCGCGATACGCAAATGCAGTGCAAACATTGGTTTATTTGAACCGAAATAAATACTCGACGAGCCTAATTTTACGACTCGCCCAATTATCGTTAAGTAATTATGTTAAGTTCCAGGTAAACCGGACCCGAGAGGGTGAGACGGTACTTCGCGCGCGTCCCTTCGACGCTCTTATCGGCGATTCCCATGTACGTCGCGAATTATTGGGATCTGTAAACTTTTTTCCAAATATTGTTCGCATTTCTTCTGAAGTGGGGATAAACTTCGGAGGAGAGAGAGAGAGAGAGCAAGGGTGAGGTCTGACGTCCCTAAGACGAGAGAAACGAGCGGACAGAGAATACGTGTGTGCGCGCCTGTGTCGCGGACATTCCGCTGTCGGGGCGCGTTCCCCGAGCGTTCGCTCACGCCGACGCTACCATTAATAATCACTTTGATGCATAACGCGGCCTCGCTATTATTTACGCGCGGCCGTCGCGCGTGCGGCGCCCACGATTTACGGTCGTATTGTAGCGACGGTGGGGTTTGTGCAGCGGCCGACGCGGCTACAGCTTTCGCCGTTGCGTCGCCCTTTTTTTTCGGCGAACGAATTAAGTATACGACGAACTTCTCGGAGACGGTCTCAGTCTAGCGGCTCCTGTCAGCTCGCGATGTCTCAGCTCGGTAAAGGCCCGCGTCCACGATGTCTAGAACTTGGTCCAAGTTCTAAAAGCTTTTATGGCATAGAAACTAGAACTTGGACCAAGTTCTAACGTCTAGTGGACACAGACCTTAAGAATGCAGAGCTTTAGATCAGGTGACTTAAGCCAACGGCGCACGATACTATTTTTCCTACTGGATTGCTTGCTTTTCCTTATATCATTTTATTATCTTGTTGTTACACTGATGTTTTGAACTTCTACATTCAGCCACTACGTTTGTTAAACGATGCCTCGCACTGGTAGTTTTGGCGCAAGTCGATTGCGAGTTCAGGAGTTCAACTATTAATCCCTTCCGTTGCGCGATTATCGCGAGTGGAAACATTTCGCGAGCTGTGCCGCCGAATGCGGCCGCAAAAGAATAAACCAAGTAACGGCGAGGGAGGGACGGTGGCACACGTGTATCCGTCATGAGGGCGCCGAGTGACAAACTCGCTGACGTGCTTTAATTAGCGACGGGGGAAAGAGATTAGAACTCAGCCTTGGGACCGCGCTGCCGTCGCTAATGCATTTCGGGATGGGATTCTGTGGGGGGGGGGGGGCTCGAGGGGGGAAAGGCGAGCGCGAGTAAGACCTCTGGGAGTGACAATTTCAGGAGCGATTAGCCGTCACGCTCTGAGTTATGCGCTTACTAAACGGCGCGCCGCGCCCCATTGAGCCGCACGGCGCGGTTTTCGTAAAAATAGAATCACGAGCTCGGTCTCGTGGCCGCTTTCGTCGCCGTTAGCTAACAGCGGGGGTGCGAGACAGATAGGAGTGACCGTGGCTGAGACGTGGCAGGGTCAGGGCGAGGAAAAAAGCGAGCCGGCGATTATCCCGCATTAAAGACCGAACTGCGATCTTCCCCTCTATTCTCGGCGGTGCGCGCACGGGGAATTCAATTTAAATACTCGCCACCAGCCGCATTCTGAGGCTTCCTCGTGCCTCTCTTTTCGTCTGACAATGAGATACCGAGCGATGATTTAGGTCACGCGAAAGGAACGAGAGATACCCACGTGGCATCGACTTAAAAGACACCTTTCGTCATTAGCGTCCGACATTTGTCGAAGACGCGAAATGTGATGATACAGTTGAGAGATCAATTAATATTTTTCATTCCGAACAAAGGATATTTGTTTCAGGCCGCACCTACAATGACTTGAACCAGTACCCTGTATTTCCTTGGGTGTTGACGAACTACGAGACGAAGGAACTCGATCTCAGTTTACCGAGCAACTATCGAGACTTGTCAAAGGTACGGAATTTGCACACAGCAGTGAGAGAAATATTCGGTCGATGTCACACAAGTCGTCTTCTCTTCATCTAAGTCATATGCCATCGAATTGTCGAGACATTGCAGCGAATTTTCTAAAAACTACCGTATTTCGCAGCCGATTGGCGCGCTGAATCCAAACAGAAGAGCCTACTTCGAGGAGCGCTTCCAGAGCTGGGAACACGACACTATACCGCCCTTCCATTACGGCACGCATTATTCGACGGCGGCCTTTGTTTTAAATTGGATGATACGCGTGGTAAGTCTCTTACTTGCAAAACTAACGCGCTCGATGTTATTTAACTTTGTTCCCTTACAGAAAACACAGATAGCACATCTCCTCACGGCAATTATTATTTCGACACAATAGAAGTACAATAGAAGAATTTATCCGCGTTCACCTGCGTTTGTTCTCGACGAAGGCAGCTGTTAAACAAAATTGTTAATTAGCTGCCGTCGTCGTTTCCATTGTCGGGACTAAATCGAAGTTGAACGCACGACGTGAGACCGGGTCTCTTATTATGACGGGCGTGCAATTAGCTTCCAATCGCTGATTTTTGGTCTTTCCACTTGCGGAGCTTGTCCAGTCCGCGCCATAAATTTAAACGACACTTTTAGTACCGCGTGCACGCTAATTTGGGGGCGTCGGAACGCCCTCGTGCCAGCGACGCCCGCCTTCTCGTTAAATATACACGTTTGTTTTCTGCTGCATTTCCCCGTTCACTTGAAATTCAGGGCCTAACTGGAAAACGTCTTCATTCCCCTCCCTTTCTCGCTCCGCTCTTTTCGGACGAAAGTCAATAATATGATTTATATCGGGGAAGATTGGTCTCGCTGTGTGCCATTTCTGTGTCGATCGTAATTTAATCTACAGCTAGTTTGTCAATCGTCATAATTGAATTTGTGTAATTGGCCTAAAGGAATATTTAAATGAACCCAAAACGCTCGACGCACTCGTACCATTGTGTATATTTAAATTTACAACGACGACGTGACGCGCCTAATTGTTTATTCACCCTGCACCCTCCTTGCTACGATAAAATATTGCATCATAAACAATTTATTGGTTTATAACTGCTCGCCACCCGGCCGCCTCGTCTGCCGAAGACACGTTAACGATCCGTTTACAGCGTTATCTCGGAGTCCTGCCGTAAATAGTTTTAGGTCTGGGTGCGTAGGGAGGCTCGCGTTCCCGGTAGAATGCAAAAATTGGGTTTACGCCCTTCGCACACTCGTGCGCGCGGCACGAGAGTGCATCGATTACGTGTGTGGCCTCTCGCTTTGCATTCGTTCGCCCGTCGACGGAACGCATGACTGGCCGAGAAACGAGAAGGGCTTCGCGAGAAACCGCGCACTCAAAGGGCCGCCTGTAAAGTGTCTCTAAGTGGCGGTTTAGAGTCGCGCCGCGACTTTTTCTCTCCGCCCCAACTCACGCGCGCTTCTACTTCTCGTGCATACTTACCTCTGTGCCACTATCGACGTTCCGCGATGGGCCTGTGCGTGCCCGTTCGCGGGAAAAGGGCTCGCACCAGTTGCCAAAACGGTCCCGCAAGTAAATCACTGTTCCTTGCAGGAGCCGATGACGACTATGTTCTTGGCGTTACAAGGCGGCAAGTTCGATCATCCCAACAGACTGTTCTCATCTATCGCGCTCTCGTGGAAGAATTGCCAGCGCGATACATCCGACGTGAAGGTTCGTTGCATTTAATTAAGATACTCGTAAAATTTACATTTCCGCCACGCCTCGGTGAACGTCCGTTGTTATCATTGCCGCATAAATTTTCGATCGTATACGCCGCCTGATACACTCGAAGATCGGCGGATCTATAAATTCGCTTTCTCATTAACAGGAGCTGATTCCGGAGTTCTTCTTTCTACCGGAAATGTTAGTCAACAGCAACCGCTACCGTTTGGGCAGGCAGGAGGACGGTAGCTCGGTCGGCGATGTCGAATTACCACCTTGGGCTTCGTCCCCCGAAGAGTTTATACGCATAAATCGAATGGTACAGGATCGATCTCTTTAAAATCAAATAATTAAGACTTAATAATTCAAGTTGCAGTAAAATGCTGATGCCTACGTGCAACGTGCGCGTTTTACAATAAATTTTTTTATCATAAACTGTATTTTTCCAGGCGCTCGAGTCCGAATTTGTGTCTTGTCAATTACACCAATGGATCGATCTGATATTTGGTTATAAGCAGAAAGGTGAGAGTTTAAAAATAGATTATCGTAGACTTAATATAAGAACTGATCGTGAATTATGCACGCTAAGATTGCATAAAAGAATTTCTTACGTATATTTATCGTCACGTATTATTATTTATTCTTATGTGTGTGTTAAATCTATCGTATTCGGTATCGCGGAGAAATGAAATCCACGATTTTATCCAAAATGATAAGTTGGAGATACATGATAATTATTGAGAGATACGTCTGCGCCGATCGCAAAAACGATCCGTAGCGTCAGGATCGGGCGATAATTAACTCTGAATTAAATTAATAAACGTTCGCACAATGGCAGGCGCCGCTCGCGAGCGCCCATGGTTGCGCCTTGGGTGTTGGGACAGAGGCGCAGTCGAGTCAAATTAGATTTCCACCGATGTTAATTGCCGATGGCGCCTCTATATCCGGCGCTTCCCCGAAGATGCTGCCTCGGCATCGGATGCCGAGGGAAGGCGACGGGCGCGCGAGAGCGCGCGTATGGAAGGAATTAGTTTTTAGTTAGCTTCCTCCCTCTCGGTCCTTGTCCCGACCAATTAGGCACGTGTGCCGAGCGCGACAATGCATCCCACCCGTAATATGCAACACGTTTACGGTAGCAGCCGGTAGCAGCGAAAGCGGAGTCAACCGGAAATACCGAGCGCGAGCGATCGTCGTGAGTTCTCTCGGAATCGTTTCCGAAGAATGCGTTATGTGCCCTTTGCGTCTAGAAACATTCTATTTTATCGATTTGCAGTATCGCTCGAAGAGGACCCAAAAGTATAGGGTCGAAACGTTGTGTAATAAACTAATTAAATGACTGGCCAGTTGGGTTGACTATAAAACTCATAAACGTATTGATTGGCTACAAAATAGAATGTTTCCAGATGCAAAGAGCACATTGTAGATTAGGCTTTAGCGACGACGCATAAAACAGGATCGTAAAATTGAAGCACAGGCGTTGAAGATCTTCGTGTAAAGTGTCGATCACACTTTGTCTCTCGCAGGCCCGGAAGCCGTACGTGCCACCAACGTTTTCTACTACTTAACGTACGAGGGTAGCGTGGAACTGGACACGATCATCGATCCCTTGATGAGGGAAGCTATAGAGAATCAAATAAAAAATTTCGGGCAGACGCCGTCGCAACTCCTGATGGAGCCGCATCCCCCGAGGAGCTCGGCGATGCATCTGGTGAGATTGTCTCAACGTGCACACGCGACAAACTAGTTTCATATGCAGCCTCAAAAACTGAGAATACTTTCCCTCAGTCTCCAATGATGTTCTCGAGCATCCCGGACGATGTGTGCATGACCATCAAGTTCCCGTCTAACTCGCCGATCTGTCACATCTCGGCTAACACTTATCCTCAACTGCCACTGCCATCGGTTGTGACGGTAACCACCGGACAGCAGTTTGCTGTTAATCGGTGGAACACCAATTACGCAGGTAAAGTAATTTTCTACACGCACTCTGGCACTTGAGTTTATCCCCGTCGCCTCGTGGTTATCGCAATTTGAACCCCCATTTGCAGCCTCCGTGCAATCTCCGAGTTATGCAGATACACCTCAGGCGCAGGCTGCCAATCAGCCATTGTCCATGGATCCTGTTCTTTGTAAGTATACAACACACATATAGGCTGAAGTAACACTTTTCAAAATAACGCGCATACTAATTAACGACACCGTGCCGTTGTACTTTCAGCTCAAGCGGCAAATAGCTCGAATCCAACGTTACAACGTCGACATCTAGGCGATAATTTTAGTCAGAAGCTCAAGATTCGTAGCAATTGCTTTGTTACCACTGTGGACAGTCGATTCTTGGTGGCCTGTGGATTTTGGGACAATAGCTTCCGCGTCTTTTCCACCGAGACGGGTGAGTCTTAATATTTTACAAATTGATCGCACTACAACGCGATAAATAAATAGTTAGCGGATAAGCCATTGGTAGGTCACATGTTCCATCACATGGTGAAGCTCTGCTAAGGAGGAAATTATTATTTGCAGCAAAAATCGTTCAGATAGTGTTCGGTCATTACGGAGTTGTCACTTGCTTATCGCGCAGCGAGTGCAACATTACTTCCGACTGCTACATCGCGTCCGGAAGTGCCGACTGCACTGTCCTGCTCTGGCATTGGAATGCAAGGACGCAAACTATCGTCGGTGAGGGTGAAGCACCGGCGCCACGTGCCACCCTTACAGGACACGAGCAGCCTGTGACGGCCGTCGTCATATCCGCCGAATTGGGTTTGGTTGTCTCGGGATCGCACTGTACGTATTACAAGTTGAAAGATAGGAGCAAATGGGAAACTTGCACATTGCTTCCTCATCATCTGAGCAAGTTACTTTTTTAAATTTTGTTTAAATAATCCTTATGGAGGAAGCTTTGTGGGTTTTATATTTCGATAATTTAACGGAAGCAAATTTCTGATTTGCATCTTTCCTTCTTACACTTTTTGTGCCAATATTTTTATTATATAATGTATAAAAATGAAAAACAAACGAACCTTTTCAAAGATCATCGCCAATTTCACTACCCTTTAATAATATTATATCCAGTAAAAAAAATTAGCATGTTATCTCAAACTTTACAAAAGTTACAACGTGTAAACAGATATTTTTTTGCAAAAATAAAAATTCGACTAAGAATGATCCTTTCAATTCATACCAAATTCAATGCCAACCATCCTTCAATGATATTCTGTATTCATATGAAAAAATTTAACCCAATATCTCAATCTTTACAGAGATTAGAGCAGCTATAGACATTTTTAACATACGTACATACACGTTGACATTTTTAAAATAATGTTTCGATGTTTTGGAATCTTTTGAACACATTGGGAAAGACAAGTGGCAAAAAATTTCTCGAAAATAAAACTTTCTCTATGAGGAAGCAAAAGAATGATTCTTAAAAGAAAGTCTGAAAGGCTGCTTTGATTTGATTGACTAAGATACTTTTTTCTTACTCTGTTGCTATTATGTGATAATTAGATGTGCTGATATATCAGGC